CAGTACTCCATACAAGAACAGGTTTGAGATTTATAGAGATAAACAATAGAATCTGGAGTAAGAAAGTGCTGATCACAATAGAGAGATCTTAGCAGATTTAGCATCTGCTAAGATCTCTCTATCAATCTTAGCATATGCTAATGTTGGGTTTGATATATGGTTTCCAAGAAAGATTAGAAGTAAGATTTAATCTTAGAAGACGAAGGTTAAATGACTCATTAAGTGCATTACTGTTCATAAATATATGAATATCTATATTGTTGCAATAAAGATTAGCTGAAAAAAAATTAAAGTTTTATTTGAGTTAAAGTTCACCAGCCACTGAGAGCCCCATGAAGCATAATTATAAGAAAAAAATTTGTACTAATGGTTTTAGTTCTTTATTGTTGTTGTTTTTTTACAAGATGTTTTTATTAAAATTCTTACACTGTTTATTTAAACTTATCAAGTTTATTTAAAATTAATTATGTCAAAACATTAAAAAAAAAATCTTCAATTACTAACTTTTTTACCGCAAAGACCCTTACAAAAACATAACATTTTTTTGGTTTTTTATTATTATTGTGTAATTATGTAATACTTTTTAAAGCAATATTTTATTTTAAGTGTGCTAGTTATTTTTACTATTTTTATTTATGTAAGTAAAATACAGCTCAACCTAAAAAATATTAAAACTTTGCTGTTTTAAAGGGATCCTCAAGATACAATGCCATAAAAACTCATGGCCTTGAAGGCATGCAAACGATTTCCCACCTCTTTAGCTGTATATAATGCGCGATAGCCACAAAATGGTGTTACTGAATTTTCTAATGACCTAAAATGGGTCTGGCTATTTTTTCATCCGCCACAAGCAATAAAAAGTTTTTTTGTGAATTATCAGCTCACCAATTTTTTTTGTTGCAGAGATTTGAGTTGATTCTGTGAAAATCCTAATTAATAATGGCATTTTAATGTAAGTGATGTAACTTAAGTTAAATATAAAGTGTCAAAATAACATGTTTATTTTCCTGAGTATTTTAAAGTCACTTTTAGTTGAATTTTTTTAATTTTTTGTAATGAGCATTGAACTCACAACATCAGTTTTAAAGTTTCAACACGATTTACTATACCAAATTTGCAGAAATCCAAACTAATAATTGAAACATTTTTTTACATGTATTTCTGCACAATGTAAGGTAAATGGTATTTTTGGTCTTAAGTTTGCCATCCTTTTGTCAGATTCAAAACTTTTTAGTTGATTTTTTTTTTCTTACTTACAGCTTTTATACATAATTGTTAAAAATTCAGAACAGTTTAACAGTTTAAATAGGATAATATTTGATAAAGTTGTTAGCCTGTAATGTAAGTTAAATGTGGAACATACCTTATATATATATATATATATATATATATATATATATATATATATATATATATATATATATATATATATATATATATATATATATATATATATATATATATATATATATATATATATATATATATATATATATATATATATATATATATATTAGCCCATCCCATTTTGACCCTCATGAACAAATTTTAATATGCCGAGTGTCATAAAATATTCACAAGGTTTTCTTAATGAAATTTTTTAATTTTTTTTTTTTTTGGATGACTATTTATACTTGCCATTCTTTGAAAGTTTTTTTTTTTTTTTTTTTCATAATCACATTTTTCGAGTTTTTAAGGACATTTTCAAACAATCAACACAAATAGAAATTTACAAATCATTAACTATATAATAGCGTCATAACAAATAATGGAAGGTTTTTTATATATATTGATTGTGTGCATTTTTATTAATATTATTTTTGTTAACTGGTGGTATTTTAAAAACACACAAATTTGTTATGAAATTAAAAAAATGTGGTTTTTAAACGCGATAGCGTTGAGGCCCAATACGCAGCAATTAGGAATTTGTTAGATACTTTTAATCTTATAAAGTTCACCCACTTCAAGCCCTGGCTATTTAAAAGATTTTTTTTTAGGTGCCCCAAGAAGACTTAACGGTCTTTTCACAGAGAGGAAGTGCATTTAACCACGAAAGTGCATTTAACCAGGAAGTTTACGCCTCCTTCCTTACCATGACGCAAAAATATGTCTAGAGCTCGTTTCGAACTTGGATCTCCTGCTTATAAACCAAGCGCTCTAACCACTGCACCATGGCCACAGTGGTTAGAGCGCTATTACAAGATTAGCTAAGTTTCCTGGCCGACCATTATTCTTGTTAACCTTCTGTCATCATGTCAGAGAACTTCATATAATCGATGCCGTAAATAAAACTCTTAAGGCGGAAAATAAACTATTTATATCATAAAACCATGAAAAGTTAAAAAATAGTTAGGTAAAAATAAAACTACTTCACTTTAAAATACCTTTTTGCAAAAACAAAATGTATGAGTCTCTAATTTTAAAATTATTTACATTTAGACTTTTGAGAAGTCTAAATGTAAATAATTTTAAAATTGCGCCACATCTGTTAGCTATCTAAGACACCAAAAAACACTAGATCCTTCACTAATCTGTGGTTTGATACCTACTCTAGGCTTTTTTTTGACATAAAGCAAGCGTAAACTTTCAAGTTAAATGCTTTTCTGCGGTTCTCTGTGATTAGGTCTTCTTGGAGCACCTAAAACCACAGAAAAATGTGTATATATGTTTTTGAATCACATCGATATGTTTTGATGTAGTTTAGTTTACAACAAAAGATCGAAAGTCCTTTATGCAATCTTTTAAGAAAACCATTTTGGATTTGGATTTATTTTATCCAAAGCTCCAGTAACAGTACTATTAAAAAAAACATCACTTTATATCAAAATCATAAAGTTTGTAAAAATCATAAAGTTTATTATAAGTCTGAAAAATGCTTAAAGATAAGTGCAACATTTCTTAAATTAATAGGCACAGTGTTTTTTTTGGTACAGGAACACCTTAAGAAAATATTGTTGAACAAATTAACTGGATTTGACATCAGAATCTATTCACGCCAATGCTTGGAAATTGCTCTAAATTTAGTCAAAAATCATAAAAAGTATAACTTTGAACAATCGGCACGAATATATATATATATATATATATATATATATATATATATATATATATATACACACACACATATATACATATATACACACATATATACATATATATATATACACACATATATACATATATACACACATATATACATATATACATACATATACATATATACCTATTTATTGTCTACCCTTTCCCATATTGGTGTGAATTAATTTAAATTGACTGATTTTGTAAATTATTTCTTTTTTTTTTGTTTTTTATAAACTAAAATTATATACAATTTTTAGGTTAAGCAAAATTTATTTTATTTTCAGATTTAGTGCTGTATTTGATGAGACTATTGCATTATTCTTTAAAGAATCAAGTGGGAATCAAAAGTCTATTGATATCTTAAAACAGTTATCGATAATATGTCTTTCTTCCAGTCATCGTAAAGTTGCTCAGGGTGCAGAGTTACCAATTATCTTGGGTCTCAACCATCCAGAACCAAATATAAGAATAGATGCAGTGCATCACTTATTAAAAGGTTTTGAATCTATAGACTATGATGATAATGAAATGGAGTTCATGAAAGATGCTATATTAGCTCGTCTAAAAGATGATTCTATAGACGTAGTCAACTCTGTATTAAATTATTCTAAGTCTTTATCAAAAATACTGTCTGCAAAAGATTTACAAGAGTTATCTATATCTCTCATGAGCAAAACAGGTTCTTATTTCGAGGAGGAAATTATTATTTATACATTAGAAGCCTTAGATGGAAATTTAAGTGAATCAAAGTTCGTTTACACTTTCCTACTTCATATATTTGATATGCTAGTTGAAATAAAAAGTACAAAAATTTTAGATTATTTTAAAACTATGAATATTAATTTAGGACATCCTATTTTAATAGGAATTCAAAAAGCTTTAGCAAGTATTGATCTGAAAAAACCTAATAAAAAAATAAGTGTTTTAGCTTACCACAGTCTTCTTTCGAATGTTGCTCAAGAAATTTCAAAGGACCCAAGTGGATTGAATGTTATTTTAAATTTTTGGGAATTCTGCAAAGAATTACCTTCTGATCATCATCTTCAGTTAGTAGTCATTTTGCTGTTTAATGAAGTTGTTTTGATAAAGTCGCCATTTTTAGAAGGATTTGTGAATGAAGTGATTCAGATGAACTTTAAGAACTTTTTTCAGATGGGCTTAAGTGAAGAGTTACTTTATTCAATGGAAGGTTTTAAAAATACTGAAAAAGAAAAGAACTATTTATATAAGTCATTTTATGCTCATTTGAAACAGAATGAATTTGAAAATGATTCAGTTTTACTGGCATTCCTAGTTTTTTTTAAAAATCTGACCACAGTCACCCCAAAAGGTAAAATATTTTTGTTATATTTTTTTATTTTATAACTATTTTAGGAAATAATAAATGAAATGGTTGCAGTTTGTTATTTAGGAATCATACATAAGACTATAAAGTAGATTTTAAAATATAAATCAGGCACATTTACAAGCTTTGTAATAAAAATAGTTATGCATTTTATGGATGATGCATAGCGATTAGCGATTTTGAAAGTTTACTTATGTTACACTAAAAAGGTTTAAAGGTTAAGTAATATTTAATTAAATCTAAATATATCTTTTAGGCAGTTAGATAAATGAAATTGAAAAAAATTTGTTATCTTGCAAGTATGTGAGTTTTTTTTAAGAACTGCAGCAACAATTCTATCTAGTTCTCAAATGTTCTAAATTTTAACCACTAATTTGTAGAAATAAATAATTCTTTTAATTAAAAAAAAAACAAAAAGTTAAATGAAACACAAGGAAGATCAATTGATATTTAGCTAATTGAAAGGGCATATATAACTTGACTTGAGTTTTGCAAAACTTTAAATAATTTAAATATTCAATTATTATAAGTATGTATATGAGAAGATATGTAGATATCCAACGTTTTTACTAGTGTGTGTATATATATATATATATATATATATATATATATATATATATATATATATATATATATATATATATATATATATATATATATATATATATATATATATATATAATGTTAGTGTATTCTACAAATAGAGTGCTCAATGTTTTTAAAGAACAGAGAAATAATAATTTAGTAAAAACGCATCTAATTTTTGTGCTCTTCAACAGCATGTTTCACCATCAGTTGGTTCATTAGGAAGAATGTATTTTTTTTAAAGAAAAGTTAATTTAAAGTTTTTAACCAAGATGATTTATCTGTTGTCAGAAATTTTAGACAGCAACAACCAGAATATTAGCTTTGTTATGCTCTTTGTTTCTTGACCAAGTATTGACCAAGCTTAATAGCACGTTCTGCACTGTCATTTACAACGAGAAGACCAGTGATGTAATTTTTAAATCTAATATAACTAGGAAATAAGTCTCAATTTAATGAAATATTTTCAGCTAAAATTCTGTCATTTTTAATAAATCCTAGGAAAACCAGCTTTTATGACAAAATCCTTTTTTTTTTGTTTTTTTTCTTTGTCAATAAATATTTTAAAACTCACTTTTAAAATATTTATCGACAATGACAATCTTATAACTGGCAAGCTTAGCTGTTAGCGATAATTTAAGAGCAAATGTAACTGATCTACAGTTAAATATTTATCTGCAAGACACATTACAACAGATCTTTCACTTAAATACCAATTGTATTTTCAGATGATTTCAGAAGAGTTTCTGCTGCTTTTAGACAGAACTCAGAATATTGTATCATTTCATTAAAAGTTTGAAGATCTGAAAAAAGTGCAATGTCAGGGATAGGAGCTTTAATAAACCACAGAACATAAAACTGTGCTGTAAATTAAATTTTTTCATGAATGAGCTTTCCCTCTTACAATGACATTATATTAGGGTATAAGCTATTTAATTGTGGGTGGGAAGGTCACATGTTAAAAAATAAACTCCCTGTGCCTTAAACTTGGCATGATTTAAAGCCATCATAAATCTAAAGCAAAAGTCTTTTTACTTAGCCACCAAAGAACTGCTAATTGTATAAAACATCAATATTCAATTTAAAAGAAATCTTAATGATTCCTAAATTTTTATAAAAAACTTTATTATTATAACTTATAAAAGTTCCACCTTTTTTCTCCCAAAATATTACAAAAATAGCGGTATTTTATTTCTGCAGGATGTTTCTCGAACCCATTTTAGTATATGTTTTCCAAATACTGTTGTATTTGGAAAACATATACTAATTAAACATACCACCAATTAATTACTTTACACTTTGGTCTACTAATTAATTTACATTTTCATCCAATCACATAGATATTTACTGAGGCTTAATTCTATGAAGAATATTTTTTATTGTTGTTAATCTTCACCACAACTTGGGTTATACAACACCTAAGGGTTAAGGGGTAAACACCTAAAGGGTTAAGGGGTAAACACCTAAGGTTAAGGGGTAAACAGATTCTATCTGTTGACCAGCCTCGCACCCCTTCTTCCTACTGAGTACTATCTATACTTGAGTCAAGTTCTTTATAAATTTAAAATGACTAAAGTACCTAAAACTAAAAAACACAAAAAACCATCGTCATCACCAAGTTCTCTAAACCTATCATTTACTAATATTCGTGGTCTTCGAAGTAACTTTTCTTCTGTTGAGTCTTATCTCTTGCAAAGTTCACCAGACCTACTTGCTCTTTGTGAGACTAATTTGAGTTCGGCTGTCCCATCTTGTGATCTTAGTGTTGATGGTTATCTTCCTTTAATTCGTAAAGACTCCAATAATCACATGCTTGGCCTGGGCATCTACATTCGTAAGAACTCACCCATTTGTCGTGAAACTAGGTTTGAATCTACAGACTATTCATTTATGTGCTTTCGTTTAGCACAACTTCACTCTATTGCCTTTCTCTTTGTTCTATATCGCTCTCCTTCATCCCAAGATTGCACTATTCTTGATGTTATTTCTGATCAAATTGACCAAGCCCTCTCTCTTTATCCATCAGCCAATATCGTCGTTGTTGGTGACTTTAATGCCCATCACACCGATTGGCTTGGCTCTAGTGTCAGTGACTCTGCTGGCGTTAAGGCCCTCAACTTTTGCCTTTCTCAATCTCTAACTCAAATAGTCAACTTTCCAACTCGTTTTCCAGACAACCATAATCATTTACCTTCTCTACTCGACTTATGTCTTGTTTTGGATCCTAGTCAGTGCTCAATTTCTCCACATTCACCCTTAGGTACTTCTGATCACAGTTTGATCTCTCTAAAACTATTATCAAATTCTTCTACTTCATCAGAATCCCCCTATCATCGTACCACATACAACTACCTTAAAGCTGACTGGGACTCTTTCCGTGATTTTCTTCGTGATGGCCCTTGGGTAGAAATCTTTCGTCTTCCTGCTGACAAATGTGCTTCTTACATAACTTCGTGGATTCAGGCTGGCATGGAATCTTTTATTCCCTCTCGACGATTCCAGGTCAGGCCTCACTCTTCTCCTTGGTTTTCCTCATATTGCGCTGCAGCAATTTCTAATCGAAACCGTTACTTCCATATCTATCAGCAAAACAGTTCTCCAGAAAACAGACATCTGTTCACTATCGCCAGAAACCATTGTAAAAAGGTTTTGTCTGACGCCAAAGCTCGCTATTCCCAGGTCATTAAATCTTGTATCTCATCACAAAAATTAGGCTCTCGAGACTTCTGGAGAATCTTTAACAGTATCAATAATAAGGGCAAATCTGTTATTCCTTCTCTCTTGTATGGTTCAGACTTTGTCACCTCACCTAAAGACAAAGCTGAATTGTTTGCTAAGAACTTTTCATCAATATCATCTCTTGATTCCACTAGTTGCGTTTTACCTGACATAGCCGTCAAACAGGTTGATCCCTTGCTTGACATTCGCATCACTTCAGCTTCTGTATCTAAAGTAATTTCCTGCTTAGACTCTTCAACAGCTTGTGGTCCTGACAACATTCCTGTTGTAGTCTTGCAGAGGTGTTCTCCGGAGCTTTCATCCATACTTTCTAAACTATTTAACAAGTGCTTATCAGAGTCTTGTTTTCCATCATGCTGGAAAGCAGCATCTGTTATCCCTATTTTCAAAAATTCCGGAGAGCGATCTGATTCATCTAACTACCGCCCCTTTAGTCTTCTTCCTGTCATAAGCAAGGTTTTTGAATCTTTAATCAACAAACACTTAATCTCTCATCTTGAATCAAATAACTTACTTTCTGATCATCAATATGGATTTCGGTCTTCTCGTTCTACAGCTGATGTGCTAACAGTAATAACTGATAGGTTTTACCGTGCATTAGATAGAGGTGGAGAGGTTAAGGCTATCGCACTTGACATTTCTAAAGCTTTTGATAAAGTTTGGCATGCTGGTCTTCTCCATAAGCTTTCTTCTTATGGTGTAGCTGGTAACGTCTTTAAGATTATTGAGTCCTTTCTTTCCAATCGTAGTATAAAAGTTGTCCTCGATGAACAACACTCTTCTTCACATCCTGTAACTTCAGGGGTTCCTCAAGGTTCAATCCTTGGCCCTATACTCTTTTTAATTTACATTAACGATCTTCCAGATATTCTCACATCTAAGGTGGCATTATTTGCTGACGACACTACCATTTACTCTTGTCATGATAAGAAGCCTACACTCTCTGATTGCTTGGAGGGGGTATCTGAGCTTGAAAAGGATCTCACTTCTGCTACAGCATGGGGCTCACAGTGGCTGGTGAACTTTAATTCAGATAAAACTCAATTTTATTCGGCCAATCGTTATCGTAATAATTTAGATCTTCCTATATTTATGAATGGTAATGTACTAGATGAGTCATCTAGTACATTACCATTCATCTTCTAGGATTAACTCTTACTTCTGATCTTTCTTTTAAACCGTATATCAAATCCATTGCAAAATTAGCATCTGCTAAGGTTGCATCTCTTTATCGAGCTCGACACTTTCTTACTCCAGATTCTATTCTCTATCTCTATAAATCTCAAATCCGTCCCTGTATGGAATACTGTTGCCACATCTTGGGCGGATCTTCTAATGATGCTCTTTCTCTTTTAGACAAGGTGCAAAAACGAATTGTAAACATAGTTGGACCTGCTCTGGCAGCCAGTCTCCAACCTTTGTCACATCGTCGTAATGTTGCTTCTCTTTCTCTTTTCTACAAATACTATAATGGGCACTGCTCTAAAGAGCTAGCGTCCCTTGTGCCATCTACTAAAATTCATTCTCGTGTTACTCGCCATTCAATTAAGTCTCATCCTTTTTCTGTGACTGTTCCTAAGTGCTTCAAAAACTCTTATTCTTCTAGTTTTTTTCCTCGAACATCATTTCTTTGGAATTCGCTACCTTCATCTTGCTTTCCTGATTCATATAATTTGCAATCTTTTAAGTCATCAGTCAATCGTTATCTTGCTCTACAGATTTAGTCTTTTCTCTTCCAGTAACTTCCAACTCTTATAGTGGTTGCTTGCAGCCTTGTTGGAAGTAAAGATGTTAAAAAAAAAAAAAAAAAAAAAAACCTGTGTACATTTTTACTGAAATTTATATATGCATTCTATGATCTGTTTATACACATTGCATGATATGTTGACACAAGGTCTCTCAATGTTTATGCTTTTAACTACCTATATCTAAGATCAAATTATGGTAAGTTTTATCCTAATTATTTATTTAACTAATTTTTAAATTATTGATAATGATGCGGCTATTAAGGTCATGCCAAGTTATTAATTTGCATAGGCTCAGTTCTATTTGGTTACCTGTAATTCATTTTCCTTCTGTGGGGTCACATATTTAGTATCTATAAACATCTCTAATAAGGCAAATAATCTTATTTTATTGTCTTCCAATCATGTTTGAAACTAATATATATATTTTGACATGTGATATATTATGTTTTGCATTATAATGTTACGCAGGATTAGTATTATACATCAACAGGATATTATACAATGTACTATAATTATATTATTCCTCGCATAAGTTTTTTAGAAACTAAATTGTTTATGTATGTGTAGTATTATGCACTGAAGTCACTATTAACTACTTATCTAGATATAGTCTTTTATGACTACTTCTTGCACACTAAGTTCTTTTAAATGTGGTCTATTCTTATCTTTACTATTATTACATTTAACTAATATTCTTAATGTTTATTAATACAACTAATATGATATTAAAATAAATCATTATTTAATATTCATTTTGTCAGTTGAAGCATTTTTTTTTTTTCATTCTTGCAAAATTTGGAGAAACATTCAGAATTGCAAATTTATCAATATATTTTGCGAAGATATGCTCGCTATGCACATATAAAAAGGATTTCCCCTTATGCAATTTTTTTTTTTTTTTAGCATGATCATTTTGATTTTTTCATCATGAAGTTTTTTCTTCCTTATTTTATCTATTTTCTTTTAATTTTATATAGGCCACAATACAGAAGTACTTTTTAATATTCTTGCAACACAGTCAGGAAATAAAAGAGCTTCTTTAAAGAAATTTTTTCAAATGCTTCTAAGTCATTTTCTTAAGGTAAGGTTTCTAATTTTTTTTATAATAAAGTTGTAAAATGTAGTTTGAAGTTTTTACATAAATTTAAACATTTAGTATTTAAAATAAAAAATGAATTGAACAGTTGAAATAAAAGATTTATTGAAAAATTTTAATATTATTTCATCAAGATCAATTTTTGCAAAATGTATGATTTGAATTACTGTTTTTTTTTTTTTTTTTTTTAATAAAATAGAGTAAATAAAAATGTAAGTTTAAATAAAGGTTATTTTGATAAAAAGTTTTAAATGTTGTTCCAATCCATATTTAAGTCATAATAACAAGTAAAATTGACTAGAGAATAATATTAAAAAAAAAAGATAAAATAAAGAAATAGTTATTAAAAATAGTTAAAAAAGTCACAGAACTTTTTATGAAATAAAAAATAAGTTTCACTCTCTCATCAATCATGAATCACTTTTATTATTAGCAAAATTTGCTAATAATAAAAGTTTGTAATAAAAGTGGAAGAAAATCTATTAAGATCTATTATTATCGCCAATCCTAATAGATAATCTATTATTATCACCAATTCAGGTAAGACTTATGACAGACTTTGCATTTAATCATGGCAACAACACAAAACATTTAAGTTCAAGCATAACAAGATAATGGTATTTAAGTTCTGCTAAGACCCTTGTTATTACAGGATTTAAATTCATTAAACAGTTAGTGACTAAACAGTCATCTATTGAACAACCACCCAAGTCAGGTTATGACTGAATCTGGTGACCAGCTAAAAGCACCAAATCAGCAGAAAGTATAGTTGATTAAAGGCATTCTCATTGCTTTTTGAGTAGGGATGTCCCGAATAGCGTTTTTTAAATATCAGGTCAAATACTGGATAACCGGGTAATTAAAAATTATCTGGATTGATATTTTTTTTAATATCTAAAAAAAATGGCAGATGTTATATTAAAAAAAAAAGATAGCAAATGTTTTCATTACAAAACCTGCAATTGGTATTTTGATAAATCAAATATTATAAAATATCTCCACAGTAAACATTCTAAAATGACAAGTATTGTTTGAAAGCTTTTTAAAATAAATAATCCATCTGAATCAACAGTGGTATTCTATGGAAAATCAGATGAGCACAATATCTAATGATTCTATTCAAAAATTGTTTTCCACAATTCTATTCTATTCTAAAAAAATGTTGTTTAAAATTCTATGAAAAAGAAAAAAGAAAGTTTAAACCTTCAATTTTTTGAATTCCACAAGAACATTCAAAAGGTAGCATGCTAATTTGTAAAGAAAATGTGTGAAATGAAAAAACAAAAGTCTATCGAAGATAATTTTTCATCAAAAAAGATATAGGAAAAATGATGAAAAGTCAAAAGAAATACATAAAAAAAGTAGCTATGATTGGTTTAGATAACCAACCATTTAGTATAAGTAATGGTTGGTTATCATGCTGCTAAAAGAATTAGTCCTTAAGTTATCAGCAGCACCAGCATCTTAAGTATTTTTTAATAATTTAATTAATAACTAAATTATTTAGTTATTAACTAAATAATTTAATAATAATTAATTAGCTAATAATTTAAGGACTAATTCTTTAGTATTATTGGAGAGATTATTTTCTCTCCAATTTTTATATTTATGATATTTATGAAAAAAGGCTCTTAAGACAGTTACCTCAACATAAAGAAATGTTATTGTTTATACACAAATATGCAAAAAAAAAAAAAAAATTATGAGCAATAAAATCTGTATTTTTTTTGCACAGTTAATTCTTAACTATTTGAACTACATAACTTAAACAATAATTTATTGAATCCTTTAACATTAGATTATTTAAAAAGATAACACTTTAAAATTTGTTTTCTTATTCTGTCAATTATGAAATAATTTAATCAGGTCATGTGTATCTTATAGAGACTGGAGTTTTAAACTGTTGTCAAAATGTCTAAACTTCCTTTAAGACTTTCAAGCTTTCTAAACTTTTAAGACTGCAGCAATAGATAAAACAAGTTTTTTTTGTTTTGTTTTGATTAAAATGAAATATCCAGTATAACCAAGCAGATTATTTTATTATCCAACCTAATATTCTATCCGAGACACCCTTGTTTTGTTACTAAGAAAAACTCAGCAGTTGCAAAAGATGCAGTTAAAGCAAAAGTAGTAGTAGCATTTATTACAAGCAAAGAAGCATTATTTTATGGAACAGTCTGTCTGAGCCAACCCCACCACCAAAGAGGTTGTCTATATCTAGTTTTACCAGATTTAGTTTTATAACTAAGGTTGATATAGCATGAAAAGTTTCCAAGTTTTCAAAAAAAACAAGGGTTAACAGTAAACTATTTTGTGTTGATTCAATAACACAGATTTGTGAATCTTGTGTATGTTCTAGTTGCCAGAAATATTTCCAACAGCTTTATTAGAAAACTGTGGATAAACTGAGGAAGTTTAACAGTGTTGCATATGTTTTCTTTAGCAATGTCCTTGATAATGACTATGCTAAATAATTAGTTCAGAGTCTTCTACCGACAACTTTTGAATACAAGCATTACCCTAAAATTCCATGCTGTCTTTTATTCTGTTTCTCAGTTTATTTATTGGGCAATGGCAGAGATGCGATTTGCAAAACTATAACAATAAATATTCCCAATATTGCAATAACGCGGTAAAAATTATATTTCTGGCTAACACCCTGATACCCTTACTTACATTACCTTATTTATCTCTTTATTTATTTATAACCTTTTATTTTTTAGAACTCATTCCTTTTTCATTTTATCCCAAGCATCATTTTTTACAACTGTTGTTTACATATATTTGCATATAACATGTTTATGTTTGTTGAAAGTGTTCCCAAAAACAAATTAAGATCTAAAAAATATATACAATAAAAAAAATCTATGCAAATTTGTGTCCCCTGTTTTTAGACTGTTGTGCTGATCTAAACAGGGAACAGTGCCTAATGTTTAAAATTATGTAAATTAAATTGGTTATTTTTTGATTTTATTTTTATTGTTTTTTTTTTTTAATAGAGTTTAGTTTCTAAAATTATATTGCATAACTTAAAGCTCAGGTAGAATTTCTTTTTATTTTAAAGGAAAAATTTAACACAAAAAATGACCTGCTGTCATTTTTGTGCAGTGTTAGTTTAAATGCGATGAAAGATAATATCCAGGAAGAAAAACTCAAGTCTGCAATTTGTGCTCTTCAAATTCTCAACGTTATTCTAACAAAAAAAGATTATGAATTGGTTGAAAAAAATAATAGTAAAACATTTTATTTAAATTATCTAATTGTTTCATTGGTTAAGTTAATCGTTGTTTTAAAAAAGGGTTGTATTTTATATACTTATATTTTTATGGTTTCTAATATAATTGTTTATGGTTGCTAATATAATTGTTTATGATTGCTAATATAATCATAATGTTTTGCATTTTAGTTGCACAAGTTAGTCATGCTCTGTTCTTATGTAAACACCAGAAAATTCGAGAAACTGTTTTGCAGTTAAACAAAGTATTGTATGAAATATTTAAGCAAGAAAAAAAAAATCCTTGGAACAGTATTTTCTTAAAAGTAATTGAGTCAGAAAAAGAAGTTTTTATGGATTCTCTCTACATTAAAAGGTAGTTAGACTTTTGTTGTTGTTTTTTTTACATTTTTATTGTTTTTATATGGCTAAAATTTTGATTTTTCATTTTTTAATGTTAAAAAAAGCAACAAGTGGATTCTAAACATACAAATAGAAATTTTTTTGTGTGAAAAATGAAGTTGATCAACAACTTTATTTTATTTATTTAACCCATTTTAAATTACAGTGTTTTTAGAATTACATTTAAGCCAAGTTAAATTAAAATTTTTAAATAGAAGGCCAAGCTTTCTAAAAAATATTTACTAATTATTTCTAAAATTTTTAAAAACTATTAAATTATTTAAATACTATTAAAATATTTTTAAAATAATTATAAAATATACTTTAATAAAATAAGTATAACAAAAAAAACTAATATCATTATAAAAGTTTTCCAAAATAAAATTTAAAAATGGCGTAATAAAAAAGATACTGGCATTTTAAACAAGCTAAAATGGTAACAGACTAAAACTTAAAAGAAAAATGTAGCAAAAAACAATAATTTTATAATAGCTTTTAAGCTTTTAAGTCAGCCATTAAATTTAAGAATAATCCCAAACCTGTTAGTGCATATTTAAATAAAACTGTTTTTTTAGGTAGTAATTGAAGAAAACTGTTAATAGTTCAACTATAACAAATTTTGAATAAATTTTGCAATTTGTTTAAATGAGTATTTTGCTTCATTATTTTTAAAAGATGAGACACTCAGTGGCATGCTGGCCCCAGAGGCTTTCCCAACTTAAAATCACCAGTAAAAATGTAAACAAAGAGTTTTTGAATAATACGAATAAATTAAAAAATTATTTTATTAAACATTAAAAAATCTGAACTAGAGAATAATTGACATCAATTAAAATTTTTTTTTTTTCATTTTTCAATGAATGATCTTGCTTGTTAATGACAATGCTTTTTTCACATCTGAGCCCAAAATATAGTGTTTTTTTATTTTTATTTTACTATGAACTTTTAAAATTTTGGGTATTTTAAACCAATTAGGTATTCTGCATTATACATATATATAGCCTGGCGCCACCAGGCTGGCTAACACCCTGACATTTGTATGTATTGTCTATTTTTGCTGTATTTTAATGTTATTTGTAAACATAAAATTATTTCTGAATAGTATCTTGGATAGAAACTTGATTCATAAAGTTGTGTAACTTTTTGTTTAACAATATTAACTTCAAAATCATTGTAAAGTGTAAACTGCAAACTTGCAACAAACTGTGTGAAACTAATAAAGTAAGAATAAATTTGCTAAGTTGATATTTAATGTACATTTAAATACTTAAATTGATATTTAAAACAATTAATTTCTTCTCAAATATTAATTTAGGGTTTTAGTTATAGGTACTGTCTTATTAATTTAAGTTGTTACATCATCATTTCCGAATCCGATTATACAAATAAGTTTACATTTTTTCCAGTAAGAATTATTTTATTAGTTTGCTTTCAGTGTACTTTTATTATTTTTAATCAGTCTTTTACATTTAGCCAGCGCTTTCGCACTCAGTCCATTTTGCACTTGCTCCCATGTTCGCAAAAACTTTTGCAAGTGCGTAAAAAAGTGATTGCCAAAAAAATAGGTTTTTTTAAATTACATGAGATCTTTTTTGTTCATCAAATACTTTTATAAAAAATTGTAAAAACACTTTTATGAATTAATTATTTTATTTAAAATTTAAATAAAACGTTTGTTTTGTCTTTTTTATTTTAATTCTTTCAACATAAAAATTAAACAAAAAATTTGATTTAATGTTTTTATTTTAATTATTTTATTTAGATTTTAAATAAATTGTTTATCTTTCCGTTTTTATTTTAATTATTTTCTTTAGTATTTATATTTAGAACTTAAATAAAATGTTTGTCTTTATTAAACATTAGTAATTATTTTGTTTAATACTTAATTTTTATTTTTTTTTTTTTTTTTTTTTTTTTTTTTTTGCCAAGAATTTTAAAAAAACATCATTTAGAATTTATTCAAAATATTTTTTTTACTTTTTTTATTTTATTTTAAATAGTAAATAAAGATTAATTTTTAAAATGGTGCATATTTTTATAATTATTTAAAATTGCTTTGAATATGATATTTAAGGCTTTAAAATGCCTTGAAATATCATATTTAAAGGGCTACCCCTAAATCAATAAATTTTAATCGTAAAAGGCTGTTCAAAATTTTAGTATTGTATATAAAAAGCAATTTATTGTGTTCACAGTTTCAGTTTATTTGTAGTGGTGGCTAGCTTTTCCTGTACCAGCTAACGCAACAGGGAATGACTTGATTTTAGTGGAAAATAAGGCGAAATTTTCTGAGCATGAAACAACTCAAGTTGAATATGCTCACATGGCATTCATTCATTCACCACACTTGATACTTATCTGAGGAGTTAATTCTGTTTTCTCTGTTCTCATATATGGGTAATTCCATGTCAATTAAGCCAGAAAATTTCAAAAATGTCACCATACATCTTAGATTATGCTGATTTTTATACAGTCGAGAGTACTTAGTAAAACAAAAAATCCTTGAAAATTTTAGCTTCTAGCTCCAAGAGGATCATGAAATATGATCATTTTACTTTTTACTGATCTTGGCCAGGCCTCTCTTGTCCCCTCAGAAGTGTGACCTTTGTTTAAAGGTTCCAAGTCACATAGCTTTAAAAATATTTGAACTTTTGACTTAAAAGTTTGTACCTGGCTTTTTTCAGGGTTGAAGAATCCAATGAAATAATCAGAAATGTAAAAAAATATTTTTAAGTACCTGTAATTATCAAATTAAATAAATTTAGGTAATTTTCTTTATACCTGATTTTGGTGCTCAAGAAAGCCATGTGGCCTTGATGATATAAAAAAAAAAATTGTACACATTATTCTATGTTTAATGATTTTTTAGAAAACATAAGAATTTTGATCAGCAAGTATATGGATTTCCATATATGGATAACGGGGTACAGGCCCCACTATTTTGTAGCAGAATCTTGCCATACATTTTTCACTACCTTCCAGACTAGCTGGAGCAATGAAAATTTTGGTATTTATGTAGTGTCAATAAACGTGCATTTTAAAATTAAAAAAGGGCCCAAGACACAAGATGAGGAGGCTGGAGGTATGTGCCCCACATTTTTGATCGGAGATGGATTTTTCAGTATCTTGAGATGATTTTTCAGTAGCTTCCAGACAAGCTGGAGATATCTAATTGTTGAGATATCTTATCTTGAGATGGATTTTTCAGTATCTTCCAGACAAGCTCGAGCTTTAAAACTTTCAGCATTTGTGTAGTCCTGATAAACATGCAATAAAATTTTTTCAGACGACCAGAAGGTCCATGGGGTTGGGGCATCGTGGACCATGTCCCACTTATTTTCTCAAAAAAAAAATTTTTTTTAACACATAAATGTGTCTTAAATTTAAGATAACTTTGAGAATTTTGTATTCAAAAATTTTATTGCTTTATACTTGTTCCGTTTTACTTCATTATTTACAAAATAAAATACAAAAAAAAAGAAATTGTCAAGATAATCTTAAGATTAGCTTAGATGCATTGATGGTCAAAGTATACAAACGTCCATTTGTTGTTACAGGTGCATCAATTATACAAGTTATGTTGCTAATTGGAATCCAACATTCATCTACTCTAGATGGCCAGAAAAGTTTATTAAAAGGACCATGCGAGTGCATAAACGTTACCATAACATCTTGCTCTATATTATCAATTTCATTGATCATACCAATCCAATCAAACGCATCATATTTACACATAATGAATTCACCAAATCCCTTTAATATTGTTAGTACATTAGTCAAACATTTTGTTACAATTCATTATCTGGTCATTTATGGGCATTTGCATTTGTAGTTAATCGTTATACAGTGCTACCAATACCATCACATGATGATTCACCATGACTTGTAGCAAAAAATGTCCACTCTTCATCAATGTCAAAATCATTTTTATGGAAACAAATATTGTAAAGGTTTTTGTGGTTTTTATACTGTGCAGTACAGCCATCAGAAAAATAAAGAATCTTTGATATTTTAGGATGATATTCTTTTAAATAGTTAACTATTTGTGTTTGAACTTCATACACAAAATCAGTGTCATGCTCATTATCTTTTGACATAAAGCAAAAAAAATTTTCTTCAAGTTGGTCATTTTCGTTAAATAAATAGAGGGCAACGGGGGGCAATGTACATTGACTTAAACACCAATGGTAACTTTGGATTTCATCTTGAATCACAAAAGTGAAGTTTTCTGCAAAGTCACCTAAGAGAATACAGTAGTCTTTTGCTAAATTTTCTTTTTGTTGCTTTAGGTATCTTGCTTGACATTTAGCAATGTAGGAATGAGGTGTTAACTTGTTTATTGCCTCTGATAACATCAATTTGTATTCTTCAGTTGTTGTTGTCTGATAGATCAATGTTGTTCTGTCTGTTTTCTGCCACTGATTGATTGACACCTACTCATCATTGTCATTACCAATTAGCTGTGCATCCAGAAACTTCTTTAAAGAAACTATACCTGGACAGTTCGGACATCGATAAACCATGCACTCGTTACTTGTCACATCACAAACAACTTTTGTCATCATATCTTTGTAAGTACATTTTATTTGTATAGCATTGGTCAAGAGTATTGCATTTTGATGGAGGTACATAAACAAACAGAATGAGTGCCTGATGCTTCAACAGTTACACACCATTTTGATCTTAAACTGCAAAAGTTAGAAAATCCATTAACTTCTTGAGGATATTTAGTTTTGAAAGAAACGTAAAGTTCTTTAAGATTACATAAAATAAGGCGATTTTGCATGTGTTGTTTTCTACCAATACTTACAATAATCTTTTTTACCTGGCATTTGTCTAGTAAATTCTTTATCATGGTATATATTGTTGACTCTATTTAATGTTATTTCTGAAAATCCCACTTATTTTCTTTAGTTTGCACGCTTCTTTAATTTGGTATATAGTGACGTTGAACTATCTTGTAGCAAAATTTCTTGACCAAGACTCGGGTGTAAATGTTAACAGCTAAATTTTAGTTTTTTGGTCAGAAACAATTAGCTTTTCTTTTATTTCTGCTGTTAGTTTGTCTAGATCATCACATTTACTTTTGTTAATAATTTTTGTATGAGGAATTTTATGTTTCAGTTCTTCTTCCCTAACATTATATACTTTTGAAATATGCTCTTCATACTTTGACATTTTTTTTATAACTTTACTTTTAGCAACAGATAACCGTTGATGCTTTGGAATGCCATGAAGTTTTATGGGGGATACACGTATTGTTTTCAAACTAACATTTAATGTCACTTGTGACTATTCAGAAGTAGCATATGAAATAATTTCCACAAATTCACAATTATCTTGTTCATGAAATTTACTGATTATAGCATCAAAGCAGCTCTGACAAAGTTGATATCCAGGCACAACATTTGAAAAATTAATTCTCAATGGTTTTGCCATGTCTAATGTTATTACATGACTCCCTGAAATGAAAAGAGCAATTTGATTTTAGTAATTACCTATGAAGATGAAAATTATTTCAATAATGCATAACCTGCTTTTTTCCAAACTTTTATAAACTAGTAGATTTTAATTTCATTATTCAAAAAAGATTTAACAGTAATTCTTTATCAACAATATTTACCTTTGATTGGTTTTCTTTTTTGTTTTATGCTTGTCCAATAAATTACAACATTTTGTGTGCTTCTTTTCAAAGTGTGTACCAAAAATCTTTTCATGATGAAGACAGATTGTTAAAATTTTATCATCTAGTATTCCAGATCTCCAAATAAATTCCTCTCTGGCATCTTCTCTATAGCAATCAAATTTCTTTAAATCAATCTTTTTACAATAACTTAGTTTATGACAAGTATCATTTAACTTTTTTCCAAAATCACATGAATCCATTCTTACTGTAACACTAAAAACATTTTGAGATTAATTTAAAAATGAGAAACCAATAGTAATTAATTTAATGAGAGCAACTTAAGCAATGGTAATACAATGGTAATACAAAACTAAACAGTGATTGATTTCCTTTATCTTACTTAGACAAAAAGAAAGTTTTCTTTTCACAAAGTTTAATTGTAATCAATTTGTTAATGTTAAAAATGTTAATGATGACTTTAATAGGTAACAAATTTCTTCTATACTAGTGTAATGACAAGATGTTTTTTGTTACTGTGAATAGTTCTTATTTAATAAAACAACTTGCTGTTAACATTTTAGAATTAGCAAATATCAAATAAAATCATGATTTTGAGAAGATGATAAATTTATTTTTCATTGATTTAATGTTATGACAGGATATGGTAATTAATGCTAAAATGGTAACAGCAAGTTAATTAAATAACTTGCTGTTACCATTTTAGCATTAAATTATATCTATCTTTTTTAATTAAAATTTTAAATTATACAAAATAAAATTCTGTTAAAATCATTATTTTAGACTGTCTTTAATCTTATACATGCAAATCAAAATTCTTATAAACATTAACTTTCTTAAAACATTTTAAGAAAATCATTGAACTTAAAATGATCAAAAACCAAATTAAACAAATATAAATCACAAAAATTTGTGAAGCAATGTTATCAAAGATATGTTTAGCATTGTTAAAAATGAAAATCTAAAAAAATTTTGTGAAGACAATTAGTTTTAAAGTTATCTTAAATGTGTTTTAAAAAAAATTTTTTTTTTTTTGAGAAATTAAGTGGGGCATGGTCCCCAGTACCCCAGCCCCATAGACCTTCTGGTTGTCGGGCCTGAAACAATTTTAACGCATGTTCATCAGGACTACACAAATGCTGAAAGTTTCAAAGCTCCAGCTTGTCTGGAAGATACTGAAAAATACATCTCAAGATTCCGATCAAAAATGTCGGGCACATACCTCCAGCCCCCTCTCCTTGTGTCTTGGGCCCTTTTTTAATTTTAAAATGCACGTTTATTGACACTACATAATTACCAAAATTTTCATTGCTCTAGCTAGTCTGAAAGGTAGTGAAAAATGTATGGCAAGATTCCGCTACAAAATAGTGGGGCCTGTGCCCCGTTATCCATATATGGAAATCCATATACTTGCTGATCAAAATTCTTATGTTTTCTAAAAAATCATTAAACATAGAATAATGTGTACCATTTTTTTTTTTTATATCATCAAGGCCACATGGCTTTCTTGAGCATCAAAATCAGATACATGGAAAATTGCCTAAATTTATTTAATTTGATAATTACAGGTACTTAAAAATATTTTTTTACATTTCTGATTATTTCATTGGATTCTTCAACCCTGAAATTAGCCAGGTACAAACTTTTAAGTCAAAAGTTCAAATATTTTTAAAGCTATGTGACTTGGAACCTTTAAACAAAGGTCACACTTCTGAGGGGACAAGAGAGGCCTGGCCAAGATCAGTAAAAAGTAAAATGATCATATTTCATGATCCTCTTGGAGCTAGAAGCTAAAATTTTCAAGGATTTTTTGTTTTACTAAGTACTCTCGACTGTATAAAAATCAGCATAATCTGAGATGTATGATGACATGGCCTGGCTCAATTGACATGGAATTACCCATATGATAGCTAGAGAAACCAATGATGAAGTGAGGAAATCCACTCTTATCTTTGAAAACACTTCTGTCACAAAGAGACTCAAATTTAGGGGTATGGCAAGCACTATCTACAATAGAATATAGTACTTCTCTAGTTGACCTAATCGGGCCATAGTCATTTAGATTATTAGCATTTTGTTATGCCCAATAAATTCCTCTATATTCCAGCATATGATTGAATTAAGAGGGAAGACTATAGAAAAATTAAACTGGTTTTCGTCAAACTTTAGGTGATAAATGAGGCAGCAGAGTGTGGTGTGAAAGTGTACCCTGACTTCTTAGTTGTAACTAGGGATTAAAAACACTTTCGAGATGTTCTCCGAGTAGTCGAATCTCATAGACAACAGATTCCAAATCAGCAAAAGTCATTTTGTGCACAAAAAGAAAAATGGTTTCTAGTCTTGGAAAATAAGTAGTTTCATTTGGCACTACTATACCTTATTACACTCTGTCAAGAAACTTTTTCATATCATCTTGTACTCTATATGGCTGTATTTAGTAAAAGAAATTTAATAAAAGAAACCAACCTATTTCTTTTTTTGAGCCCCATCATGGTATTAGAATTTAGCTCAAGGAAAAGTAATTATTTTTAGACTAAAGTTCGTATTTTCATTTTGCAAAAAAAAATTTATATGTATCATTTTGATGTCTAAATAAAAGACCAAAATTATGAACAGCATCGTGCGATTAAGTTGGGGTAACTGTCATATTCTAATATATATATTTATAATCATTTATGTTTGTAGTCAAATTTTTTTTGTTTACAGGATTTATCAAACATTATTCAACTCTAAAAAAGTTGACGATTTTGCCAGTTTAATTAAAAGGTCTTCTAGCAAATCAACTATAAACTTTATAACAAAGAAACTTATAAATTATCCTGTAATTTTACAGTTAAATATTCTAAAAGTTTTGGAAAGTGTTAATCCTGAGGTATGATTTTTAATTACTTTATATTGTGTCTTTTAACATAATAGTAAAAAAAATTTGCATAAGTTGTTCTTTTTCAAATTGCACAAATATGTTATTATAGTTAATAAATATATGGTTATATATATATATATGGTTATATATATATATGGTTATATATATATATATATATATGGTTATATATATATATGGTTATATATATATATATGGTTATATACATATATATGGTTATATATATATATGGTTATATATATATATGGTTATATATATATATATATATATATATATATATATATATATATATATATATATATATATATATATATATATATATATATATATATATATATATATATTGATATAATTGCATGAAAAAAAAGAAATTAAAGGTGAGCAGTTAATTTGACCAGCTAACACATGAAATTGATTCAATTGAAAAAGGAATTTTGATGCCATCCAAACAATTTTATGTTTATTTTTTAAATATGAAACAAATTTTTTTAAATTGTTAAAAATGTTTAAACTGAATACTTAATAAAAGAAAATCATTCTGTGAAATGCTACTATATCAGTTACTTATCTTACATAAAACAAAGTTTTTGCTGAAAAAATTGAGTTTTATCTGAATTAAAGTTCACCAGCCACTGTGAGCCCCATGCTGTAGCAGAAGTGAGATCCTATTCTCAAATGCCCCCCTCCAAGCAATCAGAGAGTGTTGGCTTTTTATCATGACAATAAATGAAATGGTAGTATCATCAGAGAACAATGCCACCTTAGATGTGAGAATATCTGGAAGATCGTAAATTAAAAAGAGTATAGTGCCAAGGATTGAACGTTGAGGAACCCCTGAAGAGACAGGATATGAAGAAAAGTGCTGTCCATTGAGGACAACTTTTATACTACTATTGGAAAGGAAAGATTCAATTATCTTAAAAATGTAGCCAGACACACCATTAGAAGAAAGCTTATAGAGAAGACCAGCATGCCAAACTTTATCAAAAGCTTTAGAAATGTCAAGAGCGATGGCCTTAATCTCTCCACCTCTGTCTAATGCATGATAAAACCTATCGGTTATTACTGTTAGCAAATCAGTTGTAGAACGAGAAGATCGAAATCCATATTGAATGTCAAGCAATAGATCAGCATGTTTGATAGCTATATCAGATAGAACGCAATTAATGGAATGAAGAGATAATATTGATGAAAAGTTCTTAGCAAACAAATCAGCTTTGTCTTTTGGGAAGGTGACAAAGTCTAAACCATACAAGAGAGGTGGAATTATAGATTTGCCCTTATTGGTACAATTAAAGATTCTCCAGAAGTCATGAGAGCCTAATTTTTGTGATGAAATACGAGATTTCATGACCTGAAAATAGCGACAAAATCTTTTTACAATGGTTGCTAGCAGTAATAAACAGACGTCTGTTTTCTGGAGAATTGATTTGCTGATAGATATGGAAGTAGGCTGAGTTATAAAATAAATTATATCTTTAAGCAGCTTTTTTATATATATTAGCGGGAGGAGGAAAAGATCAAAAGTGGAATTTTTATGGGAAAACCAAATAATTACACACAATTTAATTCAATGAAAATCAAAATAATGCCATCTGATGTGTGTATTTATTTATTAATTTTTTTTAATTTTACAGTTGAATGTTTTTTTTAAAAAAGGATTTTGATTTTGAAAAAAATTGCTAATGTTAAAAAATATTGTTAGAAAATTATTAGGAGCAATCTACAAAAAAAAATAAAAAGAATAAATAAAGAATATATAATAATAATAAAGAAATAAAGAATAAATAAATAAATCTTCTAAAGAGAATTAAATTTTAAGATTAAATTTTTTACTTTTCTGTTTTCTCTCTGGTTTATCGATTAGGTTTATGGTTTTTAAGTAAATGAACTTTTTTTTAGAAAAATAGGTTTTCAAAACAGTGTTTAAATATGTTTAAACCAGGGGAGAGTTTAGAGGGAGTTCACAAACTTTTTTTTTGCTTTTTAACTATAAATGTTAAATTTAATTATGTGTTTTATCTTTGATATTTAATGGACCAACACAATTATCATATTTTATTAATAGGATTGCATTGACGACTATGTTGATGTTCTTACAATCATATTTCAGTCTGAGAAGCTCACTGACTGTCAAGCAGAGATTGTAAAAATAATTTTGAATAATGTTAAACCTAAACTGATCAATGAAAAAAAAAGCATTTTTGATTGTTTTTGCAAATGTTTGAGTTCAAGTAATGAAGTACTGCAAGATATGGCTTGTGGAATGGTATGTTTATAAGTTGTTTTGAAAATCTTGTTAATGCTAAAACCCTTTTTTTTTTTTTTTGTTTTTTTTTTTTTTTTGTTTTTTTTTTGTTTTTCTAATTTAAAACTAAAATTTCTATTTGTTAATAAAAGGATATGGCAAGTATTTCAAATATTATGTCAATTTTTATTGTTTATTTAAATAGTTAATTTATTCAAATATTATGTTATTTAATATTTGTTAGTTTATTTTAAGTATTATGCTAATTGATCTTTGTTAGTTTATTTAAATGTAGAGTTTCTAAAAAACCGCATTTATAAAAAACTAAAGATTTTAACAATTCATCAAATAATCGTGATTTTTGTGCAGAAACTAGTGCAGCTCAAAAAAATGTGTTCAACAACTGTTGATGTAGGCTTTATAGAGAGAATTGCACTGTAAATTTTTTCAAGATTTTCTGTTTCTTTGCCCATATTTTAGTGCAACAAAAGCTTATGCCGTTTGAATTGATCAGTAGATTTGGGCAAGTGTGTGATGCTATCTTTATAGAGAAGTGCGTTTAATTCATACTTAAAAAAAAAAACAGGTGAAATCAGTTCCTCATCATTATAAGTAAATCCAAAAAGCCTAAACGCAAGTTTTCCAGCAAAATTTTAAGTATTTTTTAATGGAACAACTGGAGGACCTCAACAACCTTTAGGCATCTAAGCAACTGCATAACATTTCCGTTGATTGTTTCATCAACGCGCTTTTTTTAAGTTGAATGCAATAAAGATGCGATTTCTGTATTTATAGCAAATAGTTTTGCAAGCATGAATTTAAGAACAGTACCTGCTGTCAATAACATTGCATCTTCTCTGCTAAGGAGTTCCACTGGTAGTTTCACTGGCTCTAAAGCCGCATGTAATAAAGTTAATGACTCAAAATCTTGCTTGTTACATTAAGAGCATTTAATTCAGTGAATGTTTGGAATAAGCATTTCTTAGTTTTAAACAAAGACACAGTCATTAAAAAAAGTGAAATTCAACGACTACGAACATCCAGATTCAGTTCAATTTCTTTACCAAATTCCTCAGTAATTTTCTTCTGAAATATTTGATTATGAACTGATGACATTTTTATGAATTTCACTACTTTTTGTGCATTAATCAAAATTTCAGGGCAGTCAACATTAATCTCATTGTTTACTGATTCAAAACTAAAAATATCATCGTAAATTCCATGTTCATCCTCTTCTGAATCACTGTCCGATGGATTAAATTCATCACATTTGTTGGACTTTTAGGCAGAGGATTTCCTCTTTATTTTGATGAGCAAATAAATTTGTTGTTAGTAATCATATTAATCGAAACACCATCTGTAGCTAGGTCAGCTACAATTTCTTTAAGGCTCGTTTTTGTATATAACTGTCCATGGTTTTATTTTTTTTTTTCTGGTAGTAGATTTGAGCTGCTGTTTGATTTTCTAGATAAAGGACTATTGATAGTAATTCTATTATGCAAAAATTTTAAAAAGTCGTTGTGGATCCACTGGAGCATGTTACAACAGCACCAATTTCGTTGAGCCAAAATGTATACAAAAAATATCCGTATGTTTTTTAAGGAATAAAAATCTTTATAAAAAATGTTATTCTATTTGAGTATTACTTTACTTAATATTCAAATATATTTGCGTATTTTATTCTATATTCAAACTTTTTGTGTGGAATACTTGAATAATTTTGAAAATGAAAAGACATGTTTAGCTTTCCAGCAAAATACATTCTAAATAATAAAATAGCATTTACTAAAAAACCATTTATAATAAATAAAAATTTAAAAGACATACAAGAAAAACAGCCAAAACCATTTTTAAAAACTGACTGTTTTCATTTATATTGATTTTGACAAAATAACCTTCGGTTTTTTTGGACTTTTAGGCAGAAGATTTCCGTCAGTTTTTAAAAAAAAGTTTTCGGTTATCAGTTAAAATCGATTGGAAACCCTCATTTAAATGTTATATTATTTGATCTTTGTGAGTTTATTCAAATGTTATGTTATTTGATCTTTGTTAGATTATTTAAATATTATGTTATTTGATCTTTGTTAGTTAAAATTTATGCATTAGTAAAACAGTGGAAACTTTCAAAATATTCTTAATCCTTAAAACAAGTTTTTAAATAAAATAATGGCATTATATAAACTTGTTAAAACGGCACAAGAATGAAACCATGGTTGTTTAACTTAAAAAAAGAATGGTCACTTAAATTATTCTAGGTTTATTTTTTTATTTTTTTACAAAAGTATAATCAATAAATGGAATAATACTTTTGTGTATAATTTAGTTAAGTGAGACATTTTACAGTGAACTCAGTCCAGAAAATCGTCGGTTACTACTTAATGAGCTTCTCAGAATAACTCTTTCTACTTCAAGTGTTACCACAGCAACAAAAATGCGAATTGTTCTAAAGTCTATCAATATTATTGCAACTGATATAAATGAACTATTGGAGAAAATTTATCATGATTTGGAAAAAATGTTTGTTAATTGTTATCTTATTTTTAATTAGTTTATGAGTTAACTTTTTATTTATTTATTATTTTTATTTTATGTTTTTATTATTCTGTTTAGATTTATACTTATTAATTTTTGTTTGTTTTATTCATTGATTATTATTTTTTTAAAGTTTAGAAACAAAACTGCATAAAATTCATAGTTTGAAATCTGAAATATCTTCAAATTTTTGTTTAACATTTAAGTAGTATCCACCTCATAGATAAATAAACTTTATTTATTTGATGAGATAACATTGTAACAAATTTATTGTAATTGCATATAGTTGTAAATAACATGAAAGCAAAGTACATTGCTTTCTGAATCAACTGCCAGGATAAAACTCACCTCCTGATTTATTTGTATTTAATCAATATGTATTAGTAAACACAAATTATAGAAGTGCTAAACATTTTTAAAATTGAAACTTTTTTTACATTTTTTCTGAAATTATATACTTGTGTTGTTTGTTTGACAATTAAAGATATCAAATCAATATCTCCCTAATACCTTTAGTTTGCAAAAAGTTTAAGAATACCTTTGATGAGTCAATATATAATGGTTATTATATATTTCTGATGAGTTTTTGTAGATGAAACGCTGTAAATTAATTAATTAATTAGTAATTTTCTACTAATTTATTTATTCATATATGTATATATGTGATATATATATATATATGTGTGTGTGTGTATGTATGTGGATATATATACATATATCTATATATATATATATATATATATATATATATATATATATATATATATATATATATATATATATATATATATATATATATATATATATATATTTGATTTAAACACATTGATTTATTGATTTAAACACACGAAAGTTTATTAAAAACCTTTTGTAATAAAATTAGTTTAAGTTATTTTTATGCTTCCTAAAGTTACAGTTTTACTCATTGTTGCATCATAAGAAAAGTAAAATTGTAAAATTTGAATTTATTTGCATAATCGGAATTATTTGTAAAAATAGAGCTTTCATGTTTATTTATTATTTGTCAGATTTTATACTTTGAAAGTATATATATTTCAAAAAAATGATGAAAGAACTTATGCGGTTCTTCCACCCCTCCTCCTTACTTCTATAATTAACCCGGTGCCATGACAATTATTTTTAATCATCATTTTTCAATTATCATCTTAATCATTTGTGTTCAATTATCATCTTAATCATTAGTTTTATCCTAAGATAAGGAGTTGATTTAAAGGCATTTTTTTAAATACAATAAACTAAAATAGCAAGCTAAAGATCAAAAGTTCATTTATTCAAAAATTAAATTTGCATTATTTATTAGGAGTGAAATTTTTTTACTTTTGTTCAAAAACAGTTTACTCTTAATTGCCAAAAAATAAAAGTCAACTTTACTCTGAATGGATATTTAAAAATCTATCTTTTGAAAAAGCAAATTTTCTATACATTCCATTATAAAATTTTGCAACAAGTTTTTTAAAAAAAGTTTTGTAACGACATTCATTTTTTTAAAACTATATAATGTTCAGTTAGTAACCGAAGGACAGTTACGTAATTATGAAAAAAAGCAATTTTTTTAAAATTCATTTTATTGTCCTGAAGAAAAAATGAGGTAGCTAAAATAAACAGAAAAGTATTTATATACTACTGCATTTAAAACTGATTTTTTTTTTTTTTTTCTATTCATAAAAAAGCTATAGAAAAATTAAAAAAATAAAGATATATTTTTTGGGTGCTTTTTTAGAAATAGTAGGTTTGGTAAAGACCTGTATTTTACAGGTCTTTACCAAACCTACCTTTTTTTTTATATATATATATATACATAAGGAAAAATTATAGAAAAGGTCAGTGTATTATATCATCAATTAAGACTCATTAGAAATGAATGTTCAAATTGATAAAACTGATGAAATTTATACAAAAAAAAAAATTGATAAAATTTACACCAAAAATTAAGTTATATTAAGTTATAAATATCTTAGCTACTGTAAATTTTTGCTCATTTGTGGAATATGCTGACACTATTATAAAAAGAATTGTTTACTTCTGCTTTTTTTTTTTTTTAAATATATTTTTAAAGGTGGGATTTTAAATAATAGACGATATTTGATAACTTTTTTATGAACATTTCTCTATGCATTGTGAGATTGCCTGGGTGATAACAAAGTATAAAAATCAAATTTCGCATTACAACTACATGTAGCTTATGTTTAATGTTGTTCTTATTAATTTAAGCTTTTAAAATTTATCAAAGACAGAGTGTTTTGAAGATGACTTTGCAAATTTAGTTAAGGTTTTAATAAACGAGTTTTCTGCGAAAGGTCTAAAATTGATAACAATGTAAATTTTTTTAAATGGAAGCTCAGTGACCTTCAATATTTTTTAAAATTATTGAAAAACTATCATGGTTTTAGTAATTTAAATAAAGAAAAAGTACTAGAAAAAGTTATTTATGATTGGAATAGCAGAGTTTCAAGCTGTACTCTCTCTCTTTTCAAATATTGATTTTGCAGATAATAGTAATTTGATGCTACAGATGAACTTGATGAAATTCAACAAGATTTTTTAAAAAAACTTTTTATTGAAAAAGTGCTAATGCCTCATCCTAAGAATTTAAAAAATGGTTGGACCGAAGCACCTGCAAATTTTCCAGACACATTATTGCAACAGATCAATCTTTACAGTTATATTGTAGGCAAAACATTTAAAGGAGGAAAAAATCTTTTCAACTCAGGTCATTTATCTAATGTAATGTCACATGCAATAAATTATATACGCAGATACAGTTTTAAACGGGATCTTTGTTTGCCAGAGCAAAAACTAGCCAAGGCACCATATGATGTTAGGTTTGTTATACATGAAAATTCAGGTGTTGTTATAACTGGAGATTGCTTCTGGGTATGTAATATTTTCAAAACTTTATTTTAAACTATCTTTTTAGAATTTAAAAATTAAATGCATGTGTGTATATTTTTAGAACATCTGATATATGCAAGCATGTTGGTGCCTTGTTATGGTACATTGAAAAGGAAGTAAGTTAGGATAATAACTTCTCCTGTACTTCAAAGAACATTGCTGTTTAGATGGAAGTTATTCTTGGGTTTTTTAGTCGACTGCACGTCCTTGCCACATTAATTGAGTTAAAAAAAGCCAAAAAAGAAGAAAAAGTAATATGTAATATAATCGAGTGACAAAAAAAATTCTCTTACTGAAGGTGATTTAGATTCAATTGCTGAAATCACAAATGGTAACTGTGGGTTAGTTACACTAACACGTAAAAAAAGTATGCATTTTAATATATGTTTATTGCAAGAAGAAATTGAAATAGCAACATCTTTATTAATTGATTTTCCAAAATCGGTTGCTGAAGTGATTAAAACAGTTGATCCACTTTTGATATATTAGTGAATCCGCTTTTGATGAGCTCTTTTGTTATTTTCAAGTGAAGAACTTGAAAATAACAAAAGAGCAGCAATCTTTACTTATGGAAAAAACAATCAAAACAAAACAAACAAAAAAAATTCAAGTGACTTTTGGTTTTAACATCGAAATAAATTACTGCCTCAAACTTTAAATCTGCTGTCAATAAAGTTAATGATAATAATATTATTATTAATCTTGACAAATCATAATTACTGCCAGGCAAAATTTGTGGGTACTGCCCAAAAATTCAATCAAAAGCTACAAATTGGGGTATTAGCAATGAGCCAATTGCTCGAAAAAAATTATAAAAATTAACAAACAACTTCATAAAACATTTAAGGTTAAAATGGCTGGCTTTTACACAAGCTTATTGTGCTCTTTTTTAGAAGCAATCCCTGATAGTTTGGTCTTGAACCTGGATTACTGGAAATAAAATGTCCATGGACACATAGAGGATTTACTATAAATGAATTTGTCTTACAAAAAGATGCAAAAACTTGGAAGTTTATCAGGATAAGTTTTGCCTAAAAAGAGACCATGCTTATTATTACCAAGTGCAACTGCAAATGTATATAACAGTTTAAATAGTGTGGTTTCTTTGTGTACACGTCTAAAGACTATTTCTGTAAGCGTGTTTGTATAAATGACCTTTATGAAAAAAGCAATTTCAAACGCAAAGATTGTTTATAAACAAATAATAATGCCTGAGATATGTTTTCGAAATTTGTATTATTTTGTAGTAATAGAAGATGTTGAAAAAGTACTGAATGATTTATTAAACAAGGTATGCGAGCCATACAATAAAAATGTGGAAACATTTGATGAAAAAATTCCAACCATTATTGATGAAATTGATTTTATAAAGGAAAGTTGAGTTTGTCCAATTTTTAATTTACTTTTGTATACAATTTTTAAATTTTTTACATTTTAGGCGTATTTTTAATTATTTTTATCCAAAAAAATATTTTTAATTATTTTTATCCAAAAAAATGCACATTTAGTGGCATTTGAATTATCTTGTTCTATCTTAACTTTTTTTTAAAATGTCGCGATTATTAGATGTGCGTTTTGATTATTTTTGGTACTGATTCATTTTTGTAAAATTATTGTTTTCTTAAAGATAATAATTTTAATATAGTTTATTATATCTTTTTTTAAATAAATAAAAAATCAGTTTCTTTTATTCAGCCTAAACTAAATCAAAATAAGAACAATTTGTTTTGTATCAGTTTCATTATTTTTTTGATTTCTCAATCAGCATTTTGAAATACATAAAATATTTACTTTTTTAGCCAAAATCAAGAAATACACTAAATATTTGCTTTTTTAAAATATTTGAAAAAACATAAATTTATTAAAATACACAACCAAACTTGCCACAAGTTACTTAAACTAATAAAATGGTAGTTTATTATGGTACCAATGGAGGAGCTAAATTAGTTAAAGCGGCACAAATTGTCAAAATGTTGTCAAGCTGGTTTTTCCTTTTTAAAGGAATACCACAGCTTGACAACATGACAACATACGCAATATATGAAATTTTTTTTATTCGGGAAATTGCTTAT